ATATTGTCGATGAGGATTTCTCCTTGAGTCGTACCACTGCGACGAGACCCCCGTACGATTCGTCCAGTATCGCAGATAATGAGACTATCAGTCTCTTTGTCAATCAACACATCGGCCGGATAATACAATTGATCGAATCGGTCTCCTCGCCCCTTCCCACCAGCTACCACTTGTCCATTCGTATCATCCTTCTTCCATTGGATGATACGATGATTCTTCCAGTCAGCGATGACAATCGTTTGATCACCATCAACGAAGAGACCGTAAGGCCAGCTGAGTTGATTTGTGGCACTACCATATCCGTGACCTCCAGCAACGGTCACACCATTCTGTGCCCATCGGACATCGTNCTATTTAGTATTATACTTCTCAACATTTTTAAGAATGCTAACTCCTACTACAATGAACGAGAAAAAGAATCGTTATCGTCGTTATCTATGAATAACAAATTCTTCTTCTTTGAAGAGAACTTGATAAAATTTTCGAGAATGTCTTTCTCTAATATGCTCTTAACAAGCGAAAGGTTCTCCTAGTTTCATACGCAACAAAAAAAGAACTTCGTAACGATTCTTATGAGAATCCTTTGAGATTCCTGAAAAGAGTATTTTTTTGTCGGAGAGAAGCATTTCTGAAATACTGAAAAGATTCTATTTGGATCTTGATTCTAGATTCGGACAACGAAGAGGAGGTTGTAGTAGGAGTTAGCATTCTTAAAAATGTTGAGAAGTATAATACTAAATAGTATGCTACCTATCGATTGAAAAACAGAGATTTTAGTCATAGTTTTTATTATCAGTAGCAGTGTTAACAAGCTTAAATTCTTTACAGCATTTTTATCAGGATCTTGTAAGGAGAATGCCAAATAATGAGGATCTCAGGATGTTTTTCATTTATTTGGAGAATACTTCTGATCACATGATTTTCTGAATGATAAATGGAAATCTATGCAAGAGGCTCTTAAACAAACGCTAGACTGATTAATCGAAATGCGTAGCAGGTTTGTGTAAATCTAAGCCTGAGCAAACTTGGGAGGATTCGACGCTGATCGTTGGAAATACTAAATGTGTCATAGCTCTCCATAACAGAACGTGGGAATCTGTAGATTTTAGGTATAATTTGAAAATTGCGGGTATATATGGAATAACCAGATTTGGAGAAAAGAGAAGTTTTTTGCTTGTTTTTGAAAGAAAAACATATGATTCAACATGTAAATAAAGCTTGGGTTATTAAAACAAGCTTTTTATCAACTTAAAATAGTCGATATAGTAAATTATGCAAAAGAGATAAGGACTTATGGCACCTTAAAGTACACTGTCACTGGAGATCGAACAAAAGGAACTTGCAAAAAAGAATTTACAATTTCAACGTATACATTTATTGCGAAAAAAAATTTAGAAATCATATGACTGTTTCAGCTTTGACACATAATCCATTTATTCGGTTACCTCTAAGCAAAGTCACTAGATACAGAGAATAACACAAAGATTTTTCCCATAAGCATCATCACGACAAATATGAAGATATCTTAACACTAGCAGACAAAGAAAAAAAATACTCCAGATAATTCAATTGATACTATTCTGTCAGTACCTTTTAGTAATTTGGAAGGTGATGACAAAAAGAAATTAGCTTAATTTGTTATCGTATCATTATTACACTTGTTTTCTTTTCTTCTAAGAATGCTAATTCATGGCGAAGTGAAAACTACAATAATTTCAATAGCTCTAAGAAAAGTTGATCCTCAAATAAATCAGCAATTGATTCTTAATGTAATACCAATAAGAACAAAAAAAGCGCATCTTGAAAAATTTTATGATCGCAAGTATATCAAAAGCCCTTTTTGAACTTTAAGAAAAATTATACATAAACGAATTAAACAGATAGTCGTCATCTTTAAGAAGGTCGTATTTTCTATGATTGTTGAAAAATTAACTTGTCATTCTGTTAAGAAATCAAAGTGATCTATAAATAATGATTTTCATATCGGATGTTTTTATATAATAAGTATAAGTGATCGGTAGAGTTCGATAGTTCCGAAAAAAATGGAACCAACCGAGATCTTGAATATTTCAATTTCTCTCACTCGGAATCGAAATTTTTTTATTGATAATGAGGGAGCGGACGTTTAAGTATTGTATAATATAGAGTCGAACAGATCAATGTACGCATACACCACCGGTAAACTACGCTTCTTTCTCATCATTGGATCGGTTTTTTTTTACAATAGTTGTTCGATAATAGATCTTCAGTGGTATTGTATCATAGTAAGAGATATACTCAAGTTTGTTTTTGTTTAAAAGCTAATGTTTTCATAAAATTTCCAAGTTATTGCAAGGACTTTTTTGGCTCCATGAAAGTACTAAGGCTAGCGAAAAAGAATGGATGTGGTAGTGTGGGTTTTCACCACAACGATTCTTTCACCGACACCGACACCCATACTCACAATCACACCCAATTACACCCACACCTACATCCTCCTGTTATTGCAGGAGTCAATATGTGTGTAATTGTTAAATTCGATTTCTATGTTCTGCTCTAAACAGTCCTTAGCTATTGGTCCTCTACATGAGAAAATGAAGTGTGCCGGTATAACCTTTCAGAAACAATCAGCGCGCTAGTAACAGTTGATGGAAATTGACAGTCAAATGGTGATACTGATCGCATTTTATTCCGGAAATCTACAGTGATGCAGTCTTTAAAAGTCACAATCATTGTGAATATTTATGGTTCTTAATGTTTATTTATGAATGCCTATCTGCATGCACAGAATTGGCATGAAAAATATTAGGATAATGAAAAATGCTTTCCAATCTGCTTAGTGTCAAGGAAACGGAAAGCACAGATGAAAAAATATTCAGTTATGGATGACTGAATTATCTGGTGAACAAAGAGTCTCGGTTCATTATTGAACCTTGTCTTTTGAATCTTTCACGTCTTGATCCTCATTGATATGTGAGCGAACCGTGTCGAGATTTCGTTGGAATTCCGACAAACAGGCATCGTTTCGAGCGAATTGAACCGCTTTCACAAAATATTCATCAGCCTTTTTCAGGTTTCCGCGCTGAAATTCCAGCAGGCCATAATTGTTATACACGGTAGCTAGCTCGACATCGGAGCCTTGAGTTTTCAGAGCACGTTCAAAATGTTCACTGGCTAATTCATACTTGCCATCTCTTAGATATGCTCGACCCTTATTGTTCAAGATATGCAATTCAGATGCACCAGTTCTATGTGCAAAAAGGGGTCGCGGAGAACTTGGCACTGAGACACAATGTCTTCCCATGGTTCCAATGAATTGTAAAGCTTTTCCATAGTGCTCTAGTGCTTCCATGTAGATACCCTGATAATCAGCGAGCTCACCCATTTCAAAATGAACAAGTCCGCGGATTTCATTTGGAAGTTTCCGGTCTTTGACATCTTCCAACATGCGCATATAACTATTTTTAGCATTGACGTAATCACCGAGTTCTCGTAAAATATTGCCGAGAATCAAATATGAGCAATCACGTCTCGTTTCTTCTATGTAGGTTATCAACTCTGCATCATAATCGGCACACGAGTCAAGCACAATATACCAAACGTTGTTGTCATATTCTGTTACTGACTGAATTTTCCAAACAGAGCCCATGAAAAACAATACTTCATTCTCATCTTGAATTGCAGCGACGTCTCGAACATTAGCATAAGGTCTGATTAGATTTGCCGCCGCTTCGTTGACATTAATCTCAAATATAACTCTATGATAGCCGTTATGATGTCCTTCAATGCCAGCAAATGCTGTGGAAACATTAAAGTCTTTTGTTGTAGAAAAAAGTCCATTCATTGTAATCAGATGATGCTCGTTATCTTTGAATTTTTGTATCACATCGGCTGAAAATCTTTTACCTCGATAGAATGTTTTTGAATATTGACGACCGGTGTTTCGTTGTTCATTGGCTAAGTTTTTTAATTGCTCGTGTAGATCTGCCAGATAACAGCCAAATTGGAATATACGATCAGTGTCCTCTAGACGAAAGGCTCGATTGATGAGTCGATAAAGAAACGAATTTTGCGTATAATAGTTAATCGCTTTTTCCGGTCCATATGCAGCTTGAAACGTTCGAACTTTTTTAGCCTGCTTGCAATCGTGTTTACAGTCTTGGTAGCATAGATTCCACATATGTTTAATATCATCTTCAGTATATGTTCGTCTTATGAGTATTTCCATCATCGCTTGAAATAGAAGAAACTTCAATGATTCGCTGCTCAAATCACAAAATGATCTCTGGCCAGATATTGTTTTGAATGTATCGAATATTAACGGGGCATCATCCATTGTCTCTTCGGAGTTGCTTAATGATTGTTCAACCCTTCCGAGATCTGTAATGATATCTTTAAAGATATTTTGGCACTTGTGCCGTACTGATGCCGCGTTCGGGAGCGCTGACGATTCACAATCTTCTAACGGTATTCGATATACTTTTAAACAACGACTCAGACCCCAGACAAGACATTCTACCGCTGTTGCTATCTCATCCGTGCTACTGATCATGAATACGACGCGTTGAATGATGGGTTTTTTCATTAGATAACCTGCTAAGTCTTTGATGCTGTTGAAAATGTTCGAATAACGAAAGTTTTCATGAAGATGAATCTTCATTTGCCGCAACCAATCAACTGATAGGTCCTGGTCATGAAACCAGATGCTCATTAAATTGTCGCGATTGGCAAATGGTTCCGTGCGCACCATCTTTTCTGAAAATAAATTATATAATTCTCTAAAGTTTTTATGAAAGTAGGAACTTACAATCAGGTCACTCAATTTTCAAAATGATCCGACGATTTCTAACAATTGACGACTAAATCTAAAACTCAAGGATAAGAATAAGAAAAAAAGTCAAATAAGAATAATATTTTTTTAAAGAAAAATTTAATTAAGCGTCACAATCAGGATGAGAAGATAAAAGTGTTCGAATTTTTCCTTCATAAAACTGTCGTGTTTCCCCATCGGTGGATATTTTTAGTGCCTCGCGGTAGTATTGCAGTGCTCTTGTGTAGTTGTTTTCACGATCGTTGATGTCAGCGATTCTATGTAACAGATTAATTCGATGCAGAGATGAGAAACCCATTGTTGATGAGTTCTTCATGCCAAGGATTGTCGACGAAAAGTCTTCTGTATTTTTCTCTGTCTTGTGAGAGCGTTCCGAAGCTTTATCATAATTACTTATTTCCTCGTACATCAGCTTCATGTTGTTATGAATCGCAGGAAGACTTTCATGGTGGCTTGGAAATATCAACGTAAGGTAGTCAAAGTACATTTTGGCAGCATCGAATCTTTTCAAAGCTGCCAAGTAATTACCGAAAGTCAGCCAGGTGAAAGAGCAACCAGTTTCCACTCGAAGTTGGTCTATGATGCGTTGAATGGCACCGTCGACAGTTTCTATTTTAGCTCGCCAAATGCCACTTGGTGAATAGTCAATAGAAATGATTCGAAAAACAGTGCCCATGCCGAAGACGATGGTGTCGGAATCCAACTCGGTTACTAAAGCTCGATTTGACACTTTGATGTCGAAGAGAATGATGTTAAGTTCACTGTTGGCTGCTCGTTGACAAATATCCGCTATTGACCGAAAGGATTTCGAAGCAATCACGAAAGTTTGCATACAGAGTAGAGCATTTGGATACTCCTTTATTGTCTTCAAATCTTGTTGCGATATTAATTGAGCTCGATAGACTGTTTTTAAGGGTACATCGAATTTTTTTGCTAAAGACAAAATATTCTGGTTAATATTCTGCAGTTCCACGATTGAATTCATCATATGAGACATATTGAATGTTTCGAAAAGATCATGGATTATTGCATTTCCTTTAATCAGTCTAGACAGTAATATATCACTACCGGCCCGAGCGGTCGATTGAGTGGGTAGTTCCGGCAGGATTTTGGTGAACAGTTGAAAAAGAAGAAAATCCATGTGATACTGAGTGACATTATTGAGAATATTCAGTTGAAATTGAAAAACACCTAAGCTCGGTGTGTAACGCCGAGTTTGAAGATAAAAGCATATGTCTTCGCTTAATTGTTCGAGTAGATCTTCGTTGATAGCAAATATGCCGCTCAGTTTCGAATCAGCAAGCACGATTTCGGTTTGTTGAATAGGCAAGATATCGGTCACAATGTAGATAGCATACACAGATTTAAGTTCAGCAATTGTGCGCTCATCGATCAGATGATGCATTAAGATTATAAGAAAAATGTTGCGTGATGCATCAGCTTGAATCGAACTCTTGCACTCTTCGGTATTATGGAATTCCTTGATTTGGATCTTTGAATGAGTGAGACTAAATGATCGACGGCGATTGATATGTAATAGAAAGATGCATAAGGTTTGAAGATCGTTTTCTAAGACGTCATTGAGAGGGATAATAAAATCATGCCCAGTAGTCTGCATGCAGAGTTCGGTCAACAAAGCTTTCGATCTTGACCAACGCGGTGGCCGTTGCGTAATTAGCTGAATGTCTTTTTGAATTTTCTTCGCAAGCTTGTCAATAACAGAGTCCTGACCACGAATTTTAGCGTACTTGTTCGTCCAATCAGATGATGATTCATCCTGAGCATCTCGATAGACATATATGTGTTCGATATATTGATGATTGTGTATCAATGGTACCACAAAAGCACCTTTTCTGTTAGACACAACAAAATAAATCAGTTCGTCTTTAATTGATAATAATTCCGAAATACAGGCGCACTCGTCCTTGAAGGAGACTATTTCGTTCGTCTTATTATTAGTCAGTAGTATCGATACAAAAGTCACATCCAGACAGGCGATAACTGGGTTAATATTCCGTTGAAATGACGTCGTTTGTAATGATGCGCCTAGAAAAAACCAACGCAGATGCTAACATGAGTAGAAAGATGATCGAAAGATATTTTCAAGGTATTTCTGAGAAAACTGTTTGTTTGACATAGCGAATCGGTTACCTTCATCGACGAGGTTTTTACCAACACAGTCGAGGCTGAGACCGACCAGGTAACGGCAACAGGTTGCAGCAGATTCTATCCTAATACTCTGGATTGAACTTTGATCCTGAGAAATAACAATCAATATGACAGTAAGTACGACGTTGATCATCATGATGGCCTTACTCTGACAAGTTTCACGTGTTCCGTAGAGCGAGTAACCGAAATCAGACTTCCCACGTTTGACATAACTAGAGAAAAAAAGTCAATATGATGAGTCATATAATGTCTAATCTTCGTCACAATGAATCATACTTGGTTGTTTTGGAATAGGTTGAATATCTGAAGAGAATGATGGTGGAGTTGGATCTCCTGACCTATGCAGAAACAGTAACGTATCAATCGATCACCAACATCAGAAAGAGTGTTTCAGGCTACAGTCTTTACGAGTAACTATAGAGTATAAGAACTTGAAGGCAATTAGTTCAGCCGCCAGCCAACAGAAGAACTGTAGAAAAGTGAGATCTCGAACTTCAAGGATTTGACAATGCTTAAAGCATTGCTCAAGTCTGAATGGGAGAGGTTCTTGTGCAACTTGTAGATGTAAGACAAATGAGGATATCATCAAATGGTGCTAGATCCTTGAAAGTCCGTAGATACGGGGTGTTGGTGTGGATATGGGTGTGAACGACAGTGCCCACACCCCACCTACACCCACATCCACACTCACCCCCGCCACCCCACACCCACACCCTCTTGATTGTTTTCATGTGATCCACTGTAACGTTCATGATGCGATTGTGATTCGCCCTTGAATAAATTTCAATAGTTTGGAATTTCTCATCTATATAAGTGGTAAAGCGATCGGCGAACAGATCGCAGTCCTCATGTTCAGAAAAGATATCGTCATGGGGGTAAGACGAGCTGGATAGAGATCTTGATCAAAATCATCACTTGGAATAGTTGATGAGGGGGAAAATAGTACGACAACGAGAAGATAATCGAATTGAATCTCAGGTACTCCTCGAAGGCTCGGAAACAATAACAATTTCCAATTTGGACTACAATGATCTTATTTGGTTGATGCTATTGCTAGAGTATTGCCATATCAGTTGCCTATACTTATATTCGAATGCAGAACCAGAAAAGACAGTTTTATAATTTTTAAACCGTAGCTTGCACGAAATATTTGGCTACTATTTATACACTAATTTTTGTGTTTCCACGAAAAAATCTTAATGATGAATTTTTTCATCGATTAAGCTTGTTAGTACAGCCTTATTGGGGCTGAAACGTAGAACTCACATATTCCATGCCAATTAGCACATCATTTTGTGTAAATTCCTTTAATATAACAAAATATATTTAAAATTTTGTAAACAATGAAGTGACATAATCGAATGTATACAAAATAAAGTATTTATTTTCTCATTTACATTGGTAAATATTACTGACAAATGATCAA